CGGAATAACATTCCTTTCACTTGTCTTCTATCTCATTTGGGACTTGGGAGGGTTCTAGCGAGTTATACGCTGTATATTAAAAATCTAGTCTCTGAATATAACACTTCACTAAGAACTTTACATTTCCTTAATGTTGTATTACTCTAAGTACTTCAATCAATGATATTGATTTGACTTTAATAAATGTAAAGAATTAAAAAAATTGGCTTTCATATGGTTGTAATCTCTACTATGTTAGTATTTTCTGTTGTCAGTTTCTAAGCAAGATAAGATCCAAAACAAATATCCATTGATATAAACAGCCATAAGTTATGTAAGCATATAAACAAGAAGTTATCAAGAATCAAAATATCATAGTCTACAAATGATTTATATCCATCAAAGTGCGAAGAAATCAGTGTGCGAAACAATGTGATCTAGGCACAGAAGAGAGTCGTGTAGGTTGTCAATGAGGACTTATTAGTTGCAGGTCAGATAACGGTGACTGTCTACTGCAACTGTAAACAGACCACAACCTGTTTCTGGCTAGCACTAACTACTACAGTCATCGCCGATGTGCTACCTGGCGTCCTCCCTCTACATCCCAGACTTGTACTCAGATTGGTAACATCGTGATCAGCTACCGTTGGCGCGGTTGCACACAAGCCTGTCGCTTCTTTTGGAGTACCTGTCTAAACTTTGACCATACCTTTGTTTGTGCTAGTCTTGTCTTACTTTTCAGTGGTCAACAAATTCGTCGTTCTCAACGGATCGTGTCAGTAAATGGCTTGCAGATTCTGTTCCAACCAATTATCATACCGAGCTAGGTTAAAGGCTAGCTATCAGCCCACTGAAAAGTATAGATGAGTATTGGTTACAGTTGCATGACTCCATGGAAATGGCAACTGAAGTTTCTTGCGGCTTCTAAAAACGTCCTGCTTATAAGCAATGGGTTTCTTCGGGCTCCTTACAACTCATCGAAGCCCGTCGGTCTATTCTGCGTGATCGCGATTTTGACCATAAACGAAGACTGTTGCATAATGAAATTGCTCAAAGCTTGAGTGAGGATCGAGAAGTCTGGTGGTCGGAGCGTGTTAACTAAGTGGTTGCAGGGAACTCCAACTCTCAAAGCACTACAAATAACCAGGCCCAGATAACGTACCTCCGGCCATTCTTATAGATGACGGTGACTTCCTACTTATGAGACTGACAGAATTTTTTTTTACAAAGGTTTGGTAATTAGAGAGTGTCTCAACATCGTGAAATGAGTCGATAGTTGTCTCTGTCTTTAAAAAGGGATCATGTCACCTATGTAATTCTAATTTCGATTGCGTCCAAACTTTTGGCTTCCATCATACTTTGAAGATTGTTCAAAATCCGAGAAAGATTGACTCGCGAGGAGCAGGCTGGTTTTCGTTCTGGTCGAAGATGTGTCGGTCATATCTTCACCCTGCGCCAAATGTTAGAACACCGTCATACTTATCACAGGTCAACAATTGTAGTGTTTCCTGACATCAGGGCTGCTTTCGAATGGTTGGACAAGACTATTCTCTGAAATTGTCTATTGAAGAAGGGTGTGTCTGAGTTTGTTAACATCTTGAAAGCCCTATATACAAACACTACTGGCAGAGTAAGGGCATACAACTAACTCTCTCCACTGTTCCACTCAAGCAGTGGGGTTAGACAGGGTTGCCCAATCTCACCATTCCTCTTTAAATTTGCCATCGATGACATTCTGGAAACAGCTCTGATGGATTTAGGTAATGGTGGTGCAGGCCTATTGCCTGCGGAAAGACCTTTTGACCCTGAGTATGCGGATGATATTGTTTTACTGTGCGATGATACCCAAGCCATGCAATCCACACTTAGTCAGTTGGCAATCAGTGTCCGTAGGTATGGTATGTGCTTTGTACCTTCGAAGTGCAAAGTGCTTTTACAAAACTGGCAGGACCCTGACCCAGCACTCACCCTGGGTAGTGAGTAAACAGAAGTAGTCGAGAAGTTCGTGTATCTGCGTAAGTGCTGGTGGTGGCGTGAACGATGAGATCAAGTCACGTATAGTGAATGTCAGATCGGCTTGTGCCAATCCGGGTAATCTTTGGCGCTTTTATGATGCTAGTCTGGCTGTAAAAGGTCGGATCTACAACGCATCGGTGAGGGCAGTGTTGCTCTATGCTTGTGAAACCTGGCCTCTTCGAGCTGAGTTGTGTTTGATCATCGTTGTTTTCGAAAGACTGCTGGCATGTAGTGGCAACACCATGTTAGTAATGCAGAGGTTCGGCATCGTGTGTTCGGGCACAGTGACAACCATTCAATTAGTGCCACTATCTTGAAACATCGACTTCTGTGGCTTGGACATGTCTTATGAATGTCTTCCCAGAGATTTCCACTAAGTGCATTATTTTCCGACACCTGGACCGATTGGAAAAAGAGGAGAGGTGGTCAGTGTATGACAAGGTGTCGTGGTATGGAAGAAAGCTACCAAGGGCTGGTTTCTGTTGGTCCCTTATGACTCCCTGGTTGGGTTCTAAGAGATGGTGCAACACAGTGGCTAGAGACGTTATCAGATATGGCTCAGAATAGAAGCTAGTGACGATCCTACTGTAACTTTCTTTTACTTTCTTCACAAAAACGAACGTAACTTATTTAACTGAAAGAATTCTTTCTGGTTGTGTTGTTGTTCATTGATTTATAATTAATGAAATACTGAAGTTTACAGTATTTCATTAATGATTAGAAGATGTATATTGATCAACTGTTAATGATAGTAGAATTAATAGATTAGTCATGATAAAGGTGTATGTATCAATTCTATTCTCGGAGTTCTAATGAGAAGTCGTGACCAGTGGAGCTAATCCGTGTCGGGTAGAGACAGGTATCTACCTCAGTACAATGGAAGGTGGTCGCGCAATTTCGTGGATTGGTTGATGTTAGACACTAACACCATTGGATTCCGGCTCAGTGGTCTAATGGTAAAGTGCTCAGGCGCGAAGCCAGTAGGTCCTGGGTTCGAGTCCCGCGTGGTGCGGGATCGTGGATGCGCACTGCTGAAGAGTCCCACACTAGGACGGAACGGCCGTCCAGTGCTTCCAGGTTTCCAACGGTGGTCTAAAATCAATTAATTCATGATCTCAACCAAAAACTTAACAATCTCCACAACCTCTATACTGATAATTATTATTTCACTTTCACACCAATTTCCGTTATTTATTGTCCTTTTTATTATATGCTTACTTTACCTTACTTACGCCTGTTACTCCTCATGAAGGAGCATAGGCCAATCACCAGCATTCTCCATCCAACCCTGTCCTGGGCAATCCTTTCCAGCTCCTTCCAGTTGTTATTCATCCTTGCCATATCTGCTTTTATTTCCCGACGTAATGTGTTCTTGGCCTTCCTCTTTTCCGCTCCCCTTCAGGATTCCAAGTTAGGGAATGTCTCGTGATGCAGTTTGATGATTTGCGTAATGTATGTCCTATCCACTTCCATCGCATTTTCCTAATTTCTTCTTCAGCTGGAAGTTGGTTTGTTCTCTCCCACAAAAGGCTGTTGCTGATGGTATCCGGTCAATGGATGTTGAGTATCTTGCGAAGACAGCTATTTATAAATACTTGTACGTTCTTGATGGTGGTTGTTGTAGTTCTCCAAGTTTCAGCTCCATACAGTAGAACTGCCTTGACATTCGTGTTGAAGATTCTGACTTTGATATTGGTTGAAAGTTGTTTTGAGTTCCATATGTTCTTCAATTGTAAGAATGCGACCCTTGCTTTGCAAATCCTCGTCTTTACGTCTGCATCTGAACCTCCTTGTACATCGATGATGCTTCCCAGGTATGTGAAGGATTCTACATCTTCCAGAGTTTCGCCATCAAGAGTGATTGGATTACTGTTCTCCGCTTTGAATTTGAGGATCTTGGTTTCCCCTTTGTGTATACTGAGGCCTATATGCACTTTACATTAATTCTCTATCCTTTCACAACCTCACTGTTATTGTGTGGCACATATGTATTTGGTGCCCCCTTCTACCATTGTTTATGTGTTCGAATAAATAAATAATAAGCCGTCAATAAAGGCGTGTGTATAAGCAAGGGTGACAATAATTAAGTTAAAAAATAAAGCATTCATCAAAGCTTTTTAATCTACTGTTTTGAAAAGATCCTGATCCCGAGAAAAGATGGTGAGAATTTTGTAGTCGAACACCATGACTCAAAGAAAACATGGTTGGTTTAGAGATAGAGATTTACGAAACGTAGAACCTGATAAATATGTGTATTGGCCCAAGTTACAATACCAAATTAGGACAGTGAGATGAAATTATTTAAAGACGAATCACAGAGTAGGATTTGTGACAGTATCAGTAATAATCGAGATCAAGCATTGAAAAATAAAATAAAAAGGCTCGAGATTTCGAGACTCGGGTTCTGAATAAAGACAATAAATGAGTGCAAATATGCCGTGGTAAACGGTTCTAAGTCGTGCCATCCAAATACTCTAGCCATTGATTGCGATAATCACACCGACCACAATCAGGTAGCCTGCACTTATTGATATAGCTCACTTCGATTGTTAAAACCCTCGTGCATTGGTGTCACTTCTTGGTTTGGTTGCCCTTAGCTTTCCTCCAGCGTACCTCTACCCCAGACAATATCAACAGTCAAGTTAGAGCATGCGTTAAACATGTCCCAACCGCCTCAGTTGATGTAGATTCATTATTTCACCAGTTTATTTGTAATGTTTATCACGTACCTCAAATCTAATCTCGGCAATGTTCACTCAGTGGTCTCAAAATATGCGAACGATACTTGGAAAATACCAGTATTCTACGAGTATCTTCAATTCTTCAGGGAACGCATAATCAAAATCAATCATATTTTTGTATCAGTGAAATCACTTCCTCTCTATTAAACTGTTTTAATTACACAAAACCAACTAAATCTAATGTTAACAACAACGTAATGTTCATTTCCTTCTTCTTTTCATCTATATTCATTTGTATACAAATAACAATTATAAGACTGATTATATTGTAAAAAACAATCTATTTAATTCTTAAACACAACACTTTGAATTGTTCAGAAAAAAAATGTAAGTAACACTATGACCTGAGATTATAGAATTGAAAAAAAAAAGGTTTTTCTAACAAAAAAGACTAGGTATATATTATGATTATGCAGAGTATATACGACCACCTGAGTTAAGTATTATTACTGTTATTCTTATTAGTAGTAGTAGTAGTACATTATTGTTGTTATGATTATTATCCAAACAATGAAATAAGTACACTTATATAGAAAGTAATATGAGTAGTGTGGAGAACAAGACAACACGTGAAATCACATAGATACAGAATGAACCAATCATATATATCTAAGTGAAAAAAAGTTCAGGTGTAATAAAACAATTATCCCATAAAATATTTAAAAAAATGTGACATAATGTACTCTTTAATGATTACAAAGAACAGAAACAAAGTTCTATGCAGAAAAAAAAGAAGCGTTGTCAGCTGATAAGTGCTTTACTTTCTCCCCCCCCTTCTCTCTATCTCTATCTTTCTCTAAAGTAAACACTCATTATTTTCATTGTGATAAAAAGAACAGAAATTTATTCATTGAGCTTTAAACCATATTTCATTTCGACGATTAATTAATTTGAATGGTGAATCATAACCAGCGAAATAAAAAGGATCTGGTATATATTTTAAACCAAGTTGATCGAGACTTTCACCAAGTTTACGTGCATTATTTAATGCCTTGTCATTATTTGAAAAACCTGAATAGGTCCTTTATATGAAATTTTTTTAAAAAAGAAAATGAAATAAAGTAAACTAATTAAATATTTTATAGAATAGATGAAATATGGTTGGTGCTGAGATCTAATATGCGTGTTTCGTCCCATCCGAAACTCGTCAGCTGTATGTACTTACATCTTAGAGTTGATTTCCACTAGAGTGTTTATACCTAGTACTTTTCGTTTTAAATGTCAACAAGTTATCCGTTTAGACATTGATTCCAGAAAGCTATTCAGTTGTAAAACGGATATAAATTTTAATTTAATTTCTAATGGTTTGACTTACTCCATTGTTAATATTCTACGTAAACTTGTGTCATAATGGCTATATCGAAGCAATCCGCATAAAGTGCAAATATTTCAACTAAGATTGATCAAATTTTAGTAAAAAGAGTATCAACAGCTCGATAACTCATACTATCACAAAGTAAATTAAATAACTTATATTTTTTATATGAAATGAACCATAGAACTTGTTTTGTTTTGTTCAACGCCTCTGTATACATGAAAGTAATTTAGTTATTTTAAAGGATGCAGGATACTATGCTTAACATCTTTGAAACGTCAAGAGATTAGAACTAAGAGCTAGTACTTTTTTGAATCATAGTGACCATAGTTTAAAAGTAAAAATACTTGGTGGGTACACCATTGTACAAAACATTTCAACAACGACTAACAGAATAAAATAAAGAAAAAGAAAAATACTAGCTAATACCAATCAGACTCTTCAATTTCGATACAGAATTTGCAATGAAAAAGTCGACATATGGTATAACTATTTATTTGAATTAGGTTGGCAGTGAAGTTTATGCACATAACAGAACTTTAACGGTCGAATGCTCAGTTTAAGCTTAATTCTAAACATGCTAATTAATTCATTTCTAACCAATAAACGTTAGCAGAAGGAACAGGAAGATTGAAAAGTTACCGATGTCAATTCCATATGAACTCTTGTTTTCGCTAATCTAACTTGTTGTTCCGACGCAATAGATATCAGGTTTGTGTTTTACCTCCTTGTTGTTCAAACTTCTGTCACGCTGAGTTGAGTGCACTGCTCAAGGAACAGGGATAAACATAAAAAACTTGTTTCTCATTTTGAAAACATGACAGGTTCTCAAAGGATAAAAATGTTTTTCATGATGCCAGTCTTGGAAAGTATGATTTAGATACGTAACTAATAGTTATTAGGACGAATTTTAAAATCAGATTCCATTTCCCGATTTTTAGTACTTAACACCAGAGGTACAAAAGTGAATATATGAATCATGAATAATTTGCCGTGTTATCGCATGTTTCTTAGTTTTGTAAACAGTGTTCAGATTAAGTAAATTTACTGAAAAATTAAGATTTAAAGATATAAACTCTAAAACCTTATTATTGAATAGACACTCAAGGTACCTGTTTTAATAGTACAAATAAACAGTGTGGCTAATTATAGCGAATGAAACCGTACTTAAGATTTCTCAAAATTGTTTGCCCGATGTTGGTTGTATAAGATTTTGCTAAAGAATAGCGGCCTAGAATACACTCACTAGGATTATTTCTTTTTAAACCTAATGAAACAGAAATCATTCACACGGTAAACATTTAATACCTGCACAGCACTGTGAGGTATTCTATGGCTTTTAGCACTCAAACACTGTCACTTAAATAATGATATCCAGCGTCTATTGAATTATTAAATGTAAATAAGACTCCAAAAAAGATAGTTACGAGAATGTGGTCGGGCTGCAGTAGTGATCAAATTTGAGTACTTTCTTAAAAAGTAATAGTCGGTTGAATGGTTTAATGCGAATTATAAATATAACGTTAATAACAAGTTACATTAAACAGACTATGTATAAATATCTCACCAACAGTAAACTTTCATGGCTGGTCTAGTTTCTATAAATACCCCGTCTTCAGTTGGAGCAGGTGGATTTGATTGAAACGCCTCAGGAATGTAAAAACCCATTGTAAAACATCTTTTCATGACAGACTGATTATCTGGTTTACTTTCAATAGTAACTGGAGCAGTCATCGGTACTTTAACCTCTGTAAGGAATATTAATCAGAAAGAAATCACAAACTTTGTGCATTTTTCCCACCAATATACCTGAACAATTTCCAAAAGCACTCCTTACTAGCCTTATCCATTGAACTTTCATGACTCATGGCGCAAACCCATCGTAAAGAGTTATACTCACGCAGTTCAACTTTCTAAGAATCTCAATATGATCATGAAAAACTAACTTCTTGAGTCCAAGCCTTCGAAACAGTATACGGAGCAGTCTCTATGCTCATTGCAATGATTTTTTTAATTCTTTACGATAATAAGCAAAATGGTGAAGGCTGTAAAACGAAAGAAAATTAAAATGGGCATTAATTAGTAATCAATATTACTAATCAGTCAACCAATTTTTCATTCAGATTAAAAATAAACTAAACACATCATATAGTGAGAGGTTTCCCACAAAATGGTAATATATTTTGTAAAAGTAATCAAGTTCTAACTTTTATTCGAGGTGTCCCCTTATTATAACAAATGAGACTATATATATAATTTAACATCGGAATACAGGGATCCTTCGTCAATTTTCAACTTGCTCACATCAATATTGACTTGAATTATCATTAACTGCTTGGATTACAAAAAACAGCTGATTTGTATATTATCCCGATACTCGAAGAATATGTTAAGATGGAAAAGTCTGTCGAAAAACTAATAGGATAACAAGAATTAAAATGAAAGAGACAAACTGTAATCTACAACTACAATAAAAATAAATTCCAGTTTATCTTGATCAGACAGCTACTTCGTAAAAAACAATACAAAAATAAAACCTAAGGTGATGTGGAAAGAATTATGATAAATTTTCATTCGTAACGAATAGTTAATATCTAGCTATTTAGTGCGGTTCATCATCAAGAAATATCGGGAAGAAAATATTCCTCTGTAAAAATAGGCTAGAAAATATAAACAGTCAACTATTTACGGGAATAAAGGAGTTATTCATGGACATTTTCAAAAGTTTCCTATCCACACATATTAAAATGTTGCGAGAAAAGCCAAACGTTCTAGGTAGAACTAAGGTTATTCAATTAATTTTAGACGATTAAGCATTTACATGTCTAAAGATTAGACACCAAATTTTCCTAAACTTGAAGTTAGTGGGATGAAAGTAAGAATAAGCCGCAACTAAAAATGTATGTAAGTTACCAGTACCTTATACATTTTTAGACTGAATTTATCAGTGAAACACTTGTAAAAATAAATAATCAAAGTATGGAGGGTGTCAGTCATTCATAGACAAAATAGGATCTAGCACAAATATGTATTCACTCAAATTAATGAACGTAATATCAGCAAGGGGACAGAGGAAAGTTAAAAGATGAAAGACAAAGTAGTGAGAGTAATATTATAAACTGCAGTGAAAAAATGAAAGTAGAGAATTCATCTCACTAAAAAGAAGTGAAATCGAGAAATAAACCTTAGCCATGATTAGAACTCGATTAGTAAATAGTCTTCAATCGCTAGATGAACATTGTAATATACTTTCCAATGACCAACAAACCAATATGGTCAGGGTACTACCTTGTTTTAAGTTATGTAATACAGTTACGGATACTGGTACGTATATTTAAGACTCATCAAACGATGGATACTCAATGCATGCATTCGCCAACTTTTCTGAAAATTGGACAATTGTGGAAGCTTAAACCTTCGATACTGTATTCATTGAATCAGACATTTTATAATTGTCACGAGCGGATTTTTGTCCTGTCTTAAAGAATTTGTAAGAATAAATTAGAACGGCTGACGACAAAATCAAATGTATCAAATCAGCCCTAGCCTTCAGACCTTAACTAATCAAGTAAAATCTCAATCAACTCAACTGATGATTTTGAGATAGCATCTAAAATGCCTTTTACGGTTGATCGTTCTAGATTACGTACTCCTTATCGTTTCATACCAGATACGAACTTTATTTTACTGAGTTAAGGGCCAGTGTACATCTCCTTTTTAAGTTCTCACTGGAATGTTCGACCGCAGAGTAGCTGCACTTTATCTCAAAATGTTCACCTAATGTTATAGTTGTCTCGTTTGCGACGGTTGAAATAACACTCACTTTAACAACCAGTCTTCTTGGTGACTCCGAACAAGTATTTAGTGCTACTTATCATCACTGTCTTATCTGTTTTTCTTTTTTAAGATCACTGTGTTGAGATCTTAATAGTTTACTTTTAAGTTGTCTTCGCCTTTTGTTGCGTAAGCAGCCTATCACGATGAGTTCTTAACCGTCTATTGACTCTACAAAAACTGGGATGAACCAACGGAATTCCTAATTCCATGATTCGAAAACGGAATGAAATGTTGTGTACGAAGGTTGCTCGGACTTTTTTAACGAATATCATCGTAGCGACCTTTACTCAGCACACTGTTTACTGATGCTAGAATTAAGTGGAAAAAGAATAGAGTTAGTCAGTTTATGAAATGTCGTGGCATGAAAGAGAGCGGTATGGAACTGTTATCTGTCGGTTCATCATTACTCCCCGGTTGGGGTTCTAAAGACCTTACAACTCAGCAGCTCGAAACACTATCAAAATGACTCAAAATAGAAGCTGACGGCGATTCCGTTATAGTTTTCTGAGACAACATATAGAAGTGAGATGAACTATTGAAGCTATTGAAGCAACACCATGATGCTAAAATTGAATGATCAGAAATTAAAGAAAAGGGTATAAACTATGTGTTTAATTTTAACCATGAAAAACTGATGAGTTAAAGTCATATATATCAAATCAAACAGGAATTTTCGACATGAACAACCATTTATAAAAATAAACATATTTTAATATACGATGGTAAAATACATGGCTAAACCCTAGTTTATAAAAATAAATTTTCGGAATACTATGATCTTTTCATGTCTAAGATAAGCTCCGATAAAAGCTTATGACATACTAACCTTATACCAAGAATACCCGGAACCGCAGTAACTAGCGAAACTTTTGAAAAATGAGCCTCGTTGGAGTCAATCTTTATTAGTTAAAGTTGAATCTAATATTCAATACCTTTTTCATGAGCTTATATAAACCAATTTATTTATCTGAGCTCACTCCTTATTTTTTCGGTGCGATACCAGTTATCTGGTAATGTCTATTCACTCAACTACTCAACTAGTCAGTTATGTTGTTATATGTCCAAATGATTCTGGACAGATTAGAACATGCTTCCGTTTGGCGAGCTTCCACATCTAGTAGCAGTGTATCATCGATGCTGTCAGGTAGAAACCTAGCATACTTATCAGTAGAAGAAAAGAGTACTGGTAACTTATATTGAGACACTGTCCTTAATCCTCAATAATATATCAAGTTTCCGAGCTCGTGGAGATTTGTGGCTTAGGTGGGTGATTCTGACGAAATTTTGTTCCTTATCCAGGTCGGAGAACAAAAATTCATCAAAATATGAAGCTTCCTTTTGAAGGACTCCTGTGAAGTAGCTCCGACCGCCTTAGATGGCATTGAATTCTAGAATTCGACTACTTTTAAGGAGTAGAAGGTGTGCTTACAGTCCGTTCTGCTGTGTTGTGCCTCTGATTTCTGTGTGTTACTCCCAAAACTTGTGTGGCAGCCGACCATCAGTAAATATTTGGGGGGGGGCACTCAGGAGTGTTTAGGATGAAACAAATCATTGGAAGGTCACATGTTAGGTATATATACTCCAATGGATAAAGGTTCAGTGATTTGGAGCGCTCTTTATAAGGCTTAAATTTGAGTCCCGAACTGATTTTGTGGTTCACCTTTGAATGCGTTTCAATGTATCCTTGTTCTTTCGGAGCGAGGAAGGAAACGCTATGTTTCCATACTTTAAATAGGGTCGAATAATTTTGTTGAAGATTAGGCAGGAAGTTCTACCGTCGGACTGGCCAATAATTTGCTTCGACGTTACCAGTGCAAGGTTTGCTCAAAAGACATTTTTGTCTCAGTTAACATAAAAGTCCAGATCGTTGGGTACCAACACACCTGAATTTTTTTCAACTTGGGATTCCAGTGAAGGAGAGTTACCTAAGTTGTATTCGTAGTGTGAGGAGTGTCTCAGATGGACTACTTTACACCTTGAAGTGTTAAAGATAAGTCCGTTGTTGTCTACCCAACTTTGAAGTCCAGTCAGATCTTCCGGAAGTGCTGGCTTATCATCTTGGTTGCAAACATCTCTTCAGAGTTTAACATCATCAGCGTAAAGTAATATGTCAAGTGATGCCCGTTTGGGAAGATAGTCCGTATAAATTGAGAAAAGAAGGGGACTTAGTACTGAACGTTGAAAGATCGCAACAGAGCATTCTGTAGTCTGAGAAAATTGAAGGTTACCCTGACCTTAGAATGTCGATTATCAAGATATGAAGAGAGTGAACCAATTTATTTGTTTAAGTTTATTGATAAGACACCTACGATCGACCCTAATAAGAGCTTTTGATATGTCAAGGTACATAAAGTCAATATTCTCTTTGCTATAAAGGATGGTTGTTGATCTGTCCACCTCGGTCAGCAGGTTGGTTTCACAAGAGTAACCCTCCATGTAATCGTGCTGTCGATGTAAAGAGACGTTTATGGACAGTATGTGGCCCCATAGACCTGCAGAATTATGGTCTGGTTCGGTATTAGTATATTTGTCTTTGTTACTAATATACTAGACCTAATCCCAAAATTGTAGACTTGTCATGATATGAAAACCTAATCTATAAGACCTTTCGTGGAAGTCATATCATTGTTTACTCTGACTCATAGTACCACGGTGATCAACAATATGATGTCTAGCATTTCCGAAAAACCCATTTGAGCTGGGTGGATAGTAATATGTTAAATACAAAATGCAATAGGCTTTACACAGAGTGACCACGCCTATATGGCTGAGACGTGACATTTACATTCCTTCTTCCGGCGTTCACTACTTCCGACCTCATCCGAGTGTTACATGCTGAATACCAATCTTCTCAGCTATTATGTATTCAGCTCCGAACATTGCGTGATTGGGAACCGATGCCGCCAAAGGCCGTCACATATCAGGGGCTCCAAGGTTTTTTGAAGTATCGGGAGAAATGCTACTGGCCGGTAGCTTGGAGGTCTGCAACGTCGACCTACTTTAAGTCTGGTGTAATGTGGGCCGACTTTTAACTTTCTGGTACCGTTCTCCGGCTTACGGAACGTGAGAACATTACGCCGCGTGGTTTTGTCAATATTAGAGCCGCTTCCCTCAGTATATCAGAATGGACCATATCCTAGCTAATACTGTCCTTGTTTAGGTGCTTCAGTTTCTAACACATCTATTCAGTGCTCAGGTCCAATTCTGAGAGTCACATTAGGTAGTTAGTGAATCTCTCGTCGGTGAGATTATCATGAGACGGTCGACATGACTGAAAGTGTTGTTTTGCCAGGAGGTCAGCGGTGTCACGGTCTTTGTCAGTTGGGACAAATTTATGTTGGATATTGCTGGCTCCAGGTTAGTAATTTGAGATATCCATGTTTCAGATATTCCTATCGGATGAGTCTTATTAGCGCTACTTAGTTCACATATTTGTAGTTCCAGTTAGCTTGCTTGTCCCAGGGTAGTAGGGTTTCAGGATATTGGCAACCATCACATTGCAAGACACGAGGTCGGTTGGTCGCAATTTGAAAATAATAAAGTGGCGGTTGGTGTGCTAAGAGAAAACAACTCTTTCAATAATTACTACTACCACGCCCGTTACTCCCAGTGGAGTACAGGCCGCCGACTAGCATCCTCCAACCCACTCTGCCCTGGGCCTTCCTTTCTAGTTCTATACAATTGTCATTCATTCTTCTCATGTCTATCTCCATGTCTTGGAGTAAGGTGTTCTTTGGTTTCCCTCTTCTCCTTTGGCCTTGAGAATTCCATGTGAGGGCGTGCCTTGTGACACACTTCGGTGCTTTTCTCAACGTGTGCCATATCTACCTCCAGCACTTCTTACTGATTTCTTCCTCCGCTGGGATCTGGTTTGTTGTCTCTCACAGTAGGTTATTGCTGATAGTGTCTGGTCAACGGATCCAAGGTTGTTTCATAAAAGTTGGCTGATTAGTAATGTGTAAGAAGATGGAATTGAAAATATAAGAAGGGAAACGGGGTTGATAATATGAAACATAGGAAGTAATTACAGATAAGTTGTAATGATAGCCGTAGTAATTTATGAGATATGCATAAAACGCAGGTGGTCCAGAAAGAAGGTAGTAATCCGCGAGTGAGTACGTAGTTGTCAAACTTCCTCTTTAACCTATCCACTGATGGATGTGATTAATTAGGTTGAGAGAACATTTCAAACAGGGTCAACTTTTATAGAGAAAAAGTGAGTGTACGTGGGTGTTCGCTTTTCATGATTATTCGAGAGTTTTCTCATGGGGAGTGGTGATGATGTTCTGGTAGTATGTTCGCGTTAGGGTGACTTGATTTTTTTTATATGTTGCATCTCATCATCGGATCACCTCTTATTCCCCTGCAGTTCAATGAGAATAAAATGAGGTGCTCGAGTCTGGCACCGTAAGATTTATGCTTTAGACCTATCACACTCTTAGTTGCCCGTATCGTACTTGGTATAAGGGCGTTACACACCTTTGGAAAAACATTGTGGACTTCAAGGTAGAGCCGTGTGTGTATTTTAATCAGTAGTTGCATCAAGCTGTCTACACAGGAAATACATAGCTGTGTTTGCCTCGGCTGCACCCCCCATATGGGCTCCCTGTGGCTAGAATCCCGAGATCATTCTTTGAGTAAACAGCAGAGAACGGAGAGTGAATGCGCTTTGTGGCTTATGAAGCAGAATGTCCATTATATTTTTTGGCTGGTGGTTACCTTTCGTTATATTCGTAGAAAAAGTCATACCAGTAGTGAATAGGGTCTTTATTTTGATCGTGGACAGAACAGTTGTAGTGCAAGGTTATCTTTTTCAAGCACACAAAGTTTTTTGGTGTTTAATATAAAAAAAGGAAATATAATGCCCATGAGAAATAAGGAATCGAATGAATATTTGAACTATAATTTTGTGACATTACTAAGATGCTTGCGGCCAACTCCTAACTTATCATCGTAAGTTGTTACAACACATCAGTTCGACAGATTATGTTTTAACCCATTTATTTATTATTACAAGGTCCTCTAAAAGCTCAAGTGAATTAGAGCTATAATCCGAATCATTTAGGGGGACTTTCCTCTCGTACCAGGCCAATCGTTTAGCCTGTAACGACTTATAGTTAGCTGCCTGTGTGAGCTAACTAAGAGTGGATAAGCTTTTGTCACCTAAATTGAGACAAAATATATTCGCCAATCACATATAAGTATACATACCTGTCCCCAAAACATGTAGTCATATTTTTCAACAAACACCATATGTACCTCCTCAGACATTTAAATTAAATCTTAACCACTAGGATGCGCAAGTCAGAATGACTCTTTTTCCCCTGTTCTTGAACTGATATATTTGACTGATCCAGAGTATCTAATGATCAACTTATGGTTACTACGTGTATGAAGATGGTTACATTTTAATACGTTTGTAATAAGATCTATGTTTTTCCAACCTTAATACTTTCTGAAACCAGGAAACTGGCTAATATAGTACATACATTTCACGTAGTTTTATTCTAATGGACTTTTGTGAATTTTCATTTTGCAAAAGGTGTTGAGTAGTATATGACTAATAGACCATAAAATTACATAAAACGTTATATTAATATAATATGTGTGCAAATTTTAGACGCAAATAAGTGGCTGAAATTCTCTAGATGAATAAATACCATAACTATTATTTACCGATAGATATTCTGAAGCTTTAGGCCAATAGAAGATTAAAAATATCGAGAAAGTATCATTATTTAGTGGATAATACATCATCATGTTCATGCTGAGGAGTCCGATACTAGGACGAAACAACCGTCCAGTGTTTTCAGGTATTCCATGATTTTTTGGTTGAGATCATGAATTAATTGATGTTAGACCATCGTTGGAAACCTGGAAGCATTG